GGACTGCTGGAGTTAGAAGTCTAGAAGCAAAACTGGGTGGTGAAGGTGGTTCCTGGGAACATTTAACAGTGTCTTGTAAGATATCTGCCTTAGGCAATGCCTCAGACAATGTCCCAGATGTCACCTAGTTGATATCTCAGACAATGACTCATTAGGCATAGCTGGGTTAATCTCATCAGATGTGAGTAAGAGGATTAGTTTTGCTGGCAAGAGTGATTCAATGGAATTTAGGGGCTCAATGTCCCCAGCTTCCTGATTATCTGCCCATATGTCCCCATCCCAAGTTTCAGGATCCCAATCAATGCCCTCACTTTTTTTTAACTTCAGGTACCATTCAAGATTGGGAATTCAATTGCATTGTAATTCAGCCACTCTTACAATAAGACTCTGGGTTTGGTTTTTGGCAGTATCAGCTCTGTTACTACAATAAATAAGTCTTTCTTTCAAGGTACAATTGGTAAAATTGACGTATGCAGTGCTCGAGCTATGACTTTGAAGCCCAAGCTCATCTCCTTCTTTCACCACTCTGTCTAGCATTAGTAGGACCAACAAACCAGCTTCTCTATACTTCTCATTCTGACAAGACTGCAGAAAATTATCACACACCTAATTACCCAGAGCCTCACTTCTCACCAACTTTTTCTATTGGTGGTGATATTCTGCATATTAATATTGCTGCATCATGCCATGAATTAGCAGCCCCCACTTTACTAATGGGGAGTGCTGGTGGTGTAGTGCCTAAGGCATTTGACTGCTAACCAGAAGGCTGGAGGTTCAAACCCACCAGCCACTCCTTGGAAGGAAGGTTGGGCAATTTACTTTCTTAGAGATACCGCCTTGGACACCCAAGGAGGTGTTGCTGTGAGTCAAATTGACTCGATGGCAGTGAGTTTGGTTTTTGGTTTGGTCTTTACTAATGAAGCTAAAGAAGCAGAGTCATCTGTACCTTTAAGACTAGTCAGATTTGAGAACCAATGTAGAAAACTCATCCTTATGATTTTGTTTCTCTAGAACCACTCTCAATACCAAATGTCTTAGACTGGGTTCTCTAGAGAAGCAAAAGCAGTGAAGCCTATATGTGTGTGTGTGTGTGTGTGACATTAGACTAGAGGTTTCTCTTGACTCATGTAGTTGCAACGGCTGAAAAACCCAAGATCAGCAGGTAAGATGGCAAGCTGCTGGCTCATGGGCTGTGGAAGGTGATTAATCCCAAGATCATCAGGCAATATGGCAGGTTATTGGCTCAAGTCCAAAGAACCGGAGGTCAGATGATAATAAACCAGATGCAGGATTCAGATTGAGTAGAAAGCAAGAGAGCTTTGCCAGATGTCTATATATATTAGAAGCAGCCCACACTGCCGAGAAAATTCCCTCTCAACTGACTTGCCTGCTCATAGCTGACCTCATCATGGAGGCAATTACATTTTATCAGATCCCATCATGGAGGATGACCACATCATAACTGCCAAACCACTGAGAGTCATGGCCCAGCCAAGGTGGCACACAAACAACCATCATAACCAGTTAACACTACTATTATTCAAACTTAGGCACCAACTACTAAAGCCAACGATGAAGAAGTTGAAGATTTTTACCAACTTCTGCAGTCTGAAATTGGTCAAACATTCCGTCAAGATGCATTGATAATTACTGGTGATAGAATGCAAAAGTTGGAAACAAAGAAGGATCCGTAGTTGGAAAATATGGCCTTTGTGATAGAAATGCCAGAGATCACATGATAGAATTTTGCAAGTCCAAAGACCTGTCCAGCATTTCTTAAGCTTACAGAGCTGAAGAAGAAATTCAAGCCTCAAGTTGCAATACAGAAGGATTCTTTTGGGGGAGAAATATATATATTCCGATAATGTTGGCTTTATTCATCTGTATGGTTCACAATATGCCTTGTTGTTGCTGTGTGCCTCCAAGTCAATTTCAACCCTCTAGAACAAAGTAGAACTGCCCTCATAGGGTTTCCTAGGCTGAAATATATCTATATCTATATTTAAATTTTACTGTGATTTGAGTGAAAGTTTACAGAGCAAATTCATGCAGCAGTTCAATACACATTTTGTTTCATGCCATAGACTGCAATTCCCCACAATGTAACAGTTCTCTTCCCACTTCCTCCCTGTAGTTACCTCTTCACTGTGTCCTTCCCTCCCATGCACATCTGTGCCCCCCACCCCCAGCTGTCTCCCTGTGCAAACACTGCCCTTCTGTTCTCCCATGATTCATCACTCCAAAGAGTCTACCTACCTGATGTAAATGTTCACTCCATATGCTTGTCCATTGTTTGGCTGAAAGCTACAGGAGTGAGTTCAGTTCCTGACCTGAAGGGTAGCTAGGGACCATAGTCTCACATAGTCTCAGGGGTCTCACCAGGCTCTATCAGATCATCAAACTTGTTCTTTTTTTTTTTTTTCTTTCTTTCTTTCTTTTTTTTTTTTCCATAAAGATTTTGAGTTTTGTTCCACATTGTTCTCCCACTCTATCCAGGATTTCCTGCACTGATCCTCTTTGGGCAAAATATTGAACAATGCAGAAAGCATCCAAAGAAAATGGAGTACAGAGTCACGGTACCCAAAAGAACTGGTCAACATTCAGCCATTTGAGGAGTTAGCATATGATCAAGAACTGATGGTACTGAGAGAAGAAGTCCAAGCTGCAATGAAGGCATTGGCAAAAGACAAGGCTTCAGGAATTGATGAAATACCAATTGAGATGGGCCAACAAAAGAATTCAGTACTGGAAGCACTCACTCGTGTATGCCAAGAAATCTGGAAGATAGTTCCCTGGCCAAAAGACTGGAAGAGATTCATACTCATGCCCATTGCAAAGAAAAGTGATCCAACAGAATGTAGAAATTATCGAACAGTATCATTAATATCACACGCAAGTAAAATTTTGCTGAAGAAATTCAGAAATGGTTGCAGCAGTACATCAACAGGGAACTGCCATAAATTCAAGCTGGATTCAGAAGAGGATGTCCAATGAGGGATATTATTGCTGATAATAGATGGATCTTGGCTGAAACAGAGAAGACCAGAAAAATATTTATCTGTGTTTTATTGACTATGCAAAGGCATTTGACTGTGTGGAACATAAAAAATTATGGATAATATTGCAAAGAATGGAAATTACAGAGCACTTAATTGTACTCATGCTTGGTCTTTGTATATAGACCTAGAAGCAGTTGCTTGAACATAACGAGGAGATACTGTGTGGTTGAAAATCAGGAAAGGTGTATATCAGGTTTGTATCCTTTCACCACACTTATTCAATCTGTGTGCTGAGCAAATATCCTGAAGCTGGACTACATGAAGAAGAATGTGGATCAGGATTGGAGGAGGACTCATTTACAACCTGTGGTATGCAGATGACACAATCTTACTTGCTGAGAGTGGAGAAGACTTGAAGCATTTACTGATGAAGATCAAAGACTACAGACTTCAGTATGGATTACATCTCAACATTAAGAAAGCAAAAAAAAAAAAAAAAAAAATAGGACCAATAAATAACATCATGATAAATGGAAAAATATCGATGGTGTCAAGGATTTTCTTTTATTTGGATCTATAATCAACACCCATGGAAGCAGCAGTCAAAAAATCAAACAATGTATTGCATTGGGCAAATCTGCTGCAAAATACCACTTTAAAGGGTTAAAAAGCAAAGATGTCATTTTGAGGACTAAAGTGTGGTTGACTCAAGCCATGGTATTTTCAATCGTCTCATACATGTGTGAAAGCTGGACAAAGAATAAGGAAGACAGAAGAATTGATGCTTTTGAATTATGAGGTTGGCGAAGAATGTTTAATATACCATGGGCTTCCAGAAGAACCAACAAATCTGTCTTGGAAGAAGTACAGCCAGAATGCTCCTTGGAAACAAGGATGGTGAGACTACATTTTATGTACTTTGGACATGTTATTATAAGGAGCTAGTCACTAGAGAAGGACATCATGCTTAAAGTAGAAGGGCCAGTGAAAATGAGGAAGACCCTCAAGGAGAAAGATTGACACAGTGGCTGCAACAATGGACTAAAGTATAGCAACAAATATGCACATGGTGCAGGCCTGGGCAATGTTTCATTCTGTTTTACATAATGTCACTAGGAGTCAGAATTGACTCAATGGCACCTAACAACAGCAGCAACATTTAAACAGCCTGGTTTCTTCTACAACCACAAAAAGTTGTTAGGGGAAAACTAGGGGCAGGGGAGGGAGGAGCAAAGGAAACTGAGCGATAAAGAGATCAAAATGCAATGTTATGGACCTTATTTGGTTCCTGATTCAAATAAACTAACTGTAAAAAAAATATATAGAGAGAAAGACTATTGGGGAAACTTGAATGCTGTAGTGGCCATTCTCCAGAATGGCCCCCAACGATCTTTGTCCCTGAATTTCACACCCTCACGTAGTTCCTTCCCACACTGAAGTAGGGTTGGCCTGTATGACAAATGGGATATCATGTTTTCATGCAGATAACACATGCCATACATTTGTTTGCAAACCATGCAACCTCACTGCACATTAGTCTCCTATGTGCATGCTATGTGAGTTATATGTGTGTCCATTATTTGTATGTGTGCAGTATATGCAAGGGAGACAAACTCGTGTGTCGGTTTGTCCTATCGTGGTGACGTGTTGATGTGAGTTTTGAGGCTGAGCCACTGGTGTTTCAAACCCAGTGGGATGCACATGGTGCACAGGTATCAGCCCAGCTTACAGACTGAGACAGACTAGGAAGACTAGACAGACTTCTCAGAGAATTGGCCAGGGATAACCTTATGAATAGCAAAGAAACACTGGGTTTTTTTTTTTTCTTCCCCGGGCGGCTGCATACTGGCTGTGGGATGGAAAGTGAAGCTTTAGCGGCTGCTGCGAGGCTGTGAGAAGCAGCCAGCTAAGGGAAGGAGGCAGCGGTGGCAGCCTGCCGGTGAGCAACAGAGAAGAGGGGGCCTGGGTGAAGCACCTGCAAGCACGGGCAGCAGCCCCACCATGGCGATCCGTAAGAAGAGCACCAAGAGCCCCCCGGTCCTGAGCCACGAATTCATCCTGCAGAATCACGTGGACATCGTCTCCTGTGTGGCGATGGTCTTCCTGCTGGGGCTCATGTTCGAGATAACAGCAAAAGCATCTATCATTTTTGTTACTCTTCAGTACAATGTTACCCTCCCTGCAACAGAAAATTAACAGGCGAATGCACTTCTCCAAAACGAAACACAGCAAGTTTAATGACTCTGGTCAGCTTAGTGCATTCTACCTTTTCTCTTGTATTTGGGGCACATTCATTCTAATCTATGAAAACTACATCTCAGACCCAACTATCTTGTGGAGGGCCTATCCTCATAACCTGATGACATTTCAAATGAAGTTTTTCTACATATCACAGTTGGCTTACTGGTTTCATGCTTTTCCAGAACTCTACTTCCAGAAAACCAAAAAAGAAGATATTCCTCGTCAGCTTGTCTACATTGGTCTTTACCTCTTTCACATTGCAGGAGCTTATCTTCTGAACTTGAATCATCTAGGACTTGTTTTTTTGGTGCTGCATTATTTTGTTGAATTTCTTTTCCACATTTCCCGCCTGTTTTATTTTAGTGATGAAAAGTATCAGAAAAGATTTTCTCTCTGGGCAGTGCTGTTTGTTTTGGGAAGACTACTGACTTTAATCCTTTCAGTACTCACTGTTGGCTTTGGCCTTGCGAGAGCAGAAAATCAGAAGTTTGATTTCAGCACTGGAAACTTTAATGTATTGGGTGTTAGAATTGCTGTTCTGGTATCTATTTGTATTACTCAAGCATTCATGATGTGGAAGTTCATTAATTTCCAGCTCAGGAGATGGAGGGAACATTCTACTCAAGCACCAGCTGTGAAGAAGAAACCAGCAGTGACTAAAGGCAGGTCTTCTAGAAAAGGAACAGAAAATGGTGTAAATGGAACAGTAACTTCAAATGGAGCTGACTCTCCCCGAAAAAGAAAAGACAAATCCTCATAATCAGTTTCAAGCTAATTGATTTATGTCCCCAAAGAAATCTGCTTTTTGCTATACCTGTCAGCACTAGAGAATTTTTTCTGTTCTTGAAAATACAATTTGTGCTTTGGAAAAAAAAAAAGAAAAGAAACACTGTTTGATACATTACCGCGCAACTTTATGAATAGTCTGGTTAGGTTAGAAGGCTCTCAAAACAGGACTGGGAAAGAACTGCATCATCAGAGTAAACCCAGCCTTACTCATATGGATAAGGTAAAGCTTTCGAGACCTCCATTTGCTGATGTGGCATCACTCAAACCGAGGAGAAACAGCTGCAGACATCCATTACTCATCGGAACATGGAATGTATGAAGTATGAATCTAGGAAAATTGGAAGTTGTCAAAAATGGAATGGAACACTTAAAGATTGGTATCCTCGGCATTAGTGAGCTGAAATGGATGGGTTTTGGCCATTTTGAATCAGACAACCATATGATCTACTATGCCGGGAATGACAGTTTGAAGAGGAATGGAGTGGCATTCATCATCACAAAGGATGTTTCAAGATCTGTCCTGAAGCAAGTGAGTTAAACATTTACCTCAAGTAGACACACACCCTGGAGAGAACAATCAT